GCTTAAACTCAGATTGAAATGGATCTGGACTATCAGTATATTCCAAGAATGTCTGCCACAACCCTTTCTAGCAGTTTTCTCATAAATGGAATATTAGCAATTAGGCTATAATTATTTAAATAATCTATCACTAAGTTAGACTTTTTCAGAATTGGCCTAGATATTGTTTCTTTTGAGCATGGGAGTTTATAGCCCTCTTGCAAAGATGAGTTTAATTTAGGTGGCCCATTCAAACATTACCTCGTCAGATGTTAAGAGCCAGTGGCGAGGTCGTGGCCTTACAGCATGCAAATAGCTTGTCCATGTCATCAGGTGTTACAGGCTAAAATCAGTCCAGCAGAACTGGACAAGACTGTGGGTTGCACATCCCAACCTGATCTACTTTATCATTAACAGAGTCTAGGTTCCTTCGGATGGTTTCAGACTTAGATTGAAAATGGGCTGCAAATCGATTACAAATGGCTATATCTGATTAAGAACCATCAGACTGCCCAGCATTTGTGGTGTCCCAAACCACTTGGTAGCACGTCGCTTGCTGATCATGTCACAAAAGGGTGACTACTGGTTCTTTTGTATACCAGGAAGAACAACATTAAACAGCAAAGAACCTCACAAGACACATTAATAAATGCAAAAATAAATATACTTTATTACCTATTTATTACAATTCTAAATAAAGGGATTTCATGTGTTCAGCACATTCACACCACATCCATACTCACCAAAGAGAGAATTCTTTATCCGCATTGTCCAAGTTCCAAAGAAGGTAGTTAGTTCCAAAAGCTTTTTGGTTTCAGCAGACAGACAGACAGACAGACAAACAGACAAACAAACAGATTAACAGTCAGACTAATATTTTTCCAGACCCCTCTTCTTATATTCTATTTGTGCAGTTTTTTTAATAGAGCATGCGTAAAAGACATTTCTTTGTCTCAGGTTGCTCACAGGACATGCGCAGTCGAGATTCCTTTGTTTGCCCTTAGATACATGGTCCTTATCACTTATTGTGAAGTATGGAATGCTTAACATGTCTTCCATCACTTAGTGGACAGGTGTGGAATCTGCTTTGCTCAGGAGGATCTTCGTACCAGGGTCTTCTTAATCCCCTTGACTCTACTCCCAGTGGCAGATGGTTTTTGTCAATTTAGTTCAGAATGTTAACAGTTCAAGGGTTGAATCTCTCACAATGAGGGCTTCTAGCTAGAAAAACAAAGTCCCGTAGTTCCCCTGGTTCTGTTGGTCTCCATCTTTGCGTCCTAATTCTCTCTAGTTCTTCACCTGATCCAGGCAAAACATGCACACACCTGACAATCAGAAGTCTCACTAACGAGCTTAGTGTCATAAGCTGTCTTGGCCAATTGTATACCATTACAATATTTGCTGGACACTTTTCTGATTGGAACCAGGTAACCATCCAAGGGAACTTTCCTCCAGTTGTTCTCTCTAGTCTTCTCCTCATTTGTTTCAGAGCTTGTAGCTCACCCATGAACCAGGATGAGGGATGAGCTGTGAAACAGAGAGGATATCTGCGAGTGATCATATCAGCCACCCTGGTCACCAGTGGTGGCTGACATGGTCACCCAGATCACAAAGTTTGTTCACCAGTGAATAAACTTTGTGATCTGGGTTTTGACAAGAGCACCAACCAGAGCTGTCAGAATATGACCCCCAAGGCATTCCGAAAACCAGTTAGGGTTTCCAAAAGTAGCCTTCAGGAGCGGACCATCCTGAGCAGCGTCCCTGCTCAGGAGGGCACTGCACATCCAAATTTTAGCAAAGAATGATCTGTCCACGACAGGGTTGAAGTTGTTAAATCCATGACTCTGATCATCATCACTCCAGGCTGCTGTAAACAACGCAAAGGGTGTATGGTCCGCCAATTGAGTGGGACCATTTGAAGTTTTAATCTTTGAGATATAAATATCTGAAATACGTTTTTAGTAATATTTAACACATGTAATAGAAATTGAAACATGAATCTTGAAAACCCACTGTCTGTTCCTGTCATCTAAAGACAGAATAAATCAGAACACTTCAGACCCCAGAACAGGTTGCATTATAATTTTGATGGAATGATGATCTGTAGAGAAGTCTTAAATCTGTATGCTTGGCATGACCACTGGAAAACTATCACCTTGGAAATACAAGATTGCCAAAACAGCCCCTGGCTCCAATAGATTTTTTTTCATGGCTATCTGTAGCTCTGTAATCTCCTAAACCAGATGTTCTATACATTCTAAAATTCAATACAAAGCAATGTGCTTCATTAATCAAGCTGGAGTAGGGAAGGTTTGGTTTGGGGGTTTTTTTTGCTGCGAAGAACCTCTAAAGGCTCAACACTTTTTATCCTACAACTACTGCTAGAGCTAGACTAGGAAAAGTAATGAGTATCCCATTTGTGCATGATAAAAGTTGAGTGAGAAAAATACAAATGGGAGACTGAGTCTCAAGATGTATAAAAATGTTAACAATACAGATTTTATTCTGATCTAAAAAGCTCAGGCTCAACACATTTTAGTGATGGCCTTCTTCAGGAGCTAAGCATAAAATGGAAATATATGTTAATTTAGAAACAGCTGGCTTGAGAAAGTTACAACTTTTTTTTCCTTATCTATACAGTTAACAATATAATAGTATATATGCACATAATAAGCTCCATAAACTCCCGGTACAGCTTAATGACAGCATATAAATTGCATACCAAGCTTTTAGGACTTTAGCCATCTCATTTGGTCTCTACCAGCTCCAACATTACTCCAAAATGCAAATGCAAAAGGGATGGAATCTACTTATTCTCAGCTGGCAGACGAGTCAAGGACAGTGAGATAATCAGCGAGGTGTTGGGGACTGTGCTAGAGTAAGAGCAAGAAATCTATTTCTTCATTTAGCCCCAAAGGGCTAATGTCCAGCCTCAAAATCCAGTCAATTTCCCCAAGAACCTCTCATACTTAACCGGAACCATACTCATGACCCAGAATATTAAAACTCTTGCTGTGTGGTTACATTCTGTGAAGTGGCTGACGAAAGGACTGCCCTGTCTTCTATTTCTTAAATTACTGAGATGTTCTCCTCTCTTAATCTTAAGAAGTCTAAAGATCTTCCCTATATTTGTTGCAAGGACAGCTGATGGCATAGATCATTCCTTTAGTATTGCAGTAGGTAAATTTCTTCAGGATGTATAATTTGCCATTATGTAGATCTTTAAATTCCATCATATGACATCTATTTCTACAATAGGCACAAATGTCCACAGGGATGGTGTCCTGTGGGAAGGGAAGAACCAGGTAGAATGCTCGGGATTTTTGGTGGTACTCTGTCTTTAAATCCACTCTTTACTAACATATCCCCTAGGTTTCCTGTTCTTTTGAATGATACCTGTACTCCCTCCTGAAACCCTTATATACTTTCCTAGATGTGCCAATGCCTCTTTATGCATTTCTGTGGTTTGTTATTGACATGATCATATGACAGAACACAGTTAACAGGATTTGTAGGGTTTTTTGTTTGTTTGTTTGTTTGTTTAGAAGACTCAGTCTGGTATTAGTGGCCTTATCAAAACTATTATCTATTACCTCTGTCCCTTAACTGATTTCTCAATATTAGAGATTCCTGCTCAAAGTCCTTCCTCTTGGTGCAGTTCCTTTTCATCCTTAAAAACTGACCATATGGGAGATTTTGATGTAGAGATCTAGATGGGAGCTATCAAACCTCAAATAAGTGTTACAATCTGTTGATTTTCTTTGTGTACCTTTGTGTAACATTTCCCTGATTCTTTCTTGATAGTGTGGTCTAAGAAATGTATCTCATATTTAGTGTCAAATTTGACATTGCTGTCCAGAATATTGAGCCATCCAAAGAATTGTTCTACTAAACATTCTGGACCCGTCCAAATCATGAAAACATCATCTAAGGACTTTGAGCAGGAATCTCTAATATTGAGAAATCAGTTAAGGAACAGAGGTTACCCACATGAGGTCACAGATAATAGTTCTGCTAAGGTCAATAAAACCAGATGCAGTGCTCTTCTAAACAAACAAATAACCTGTAAATCATGTTAACTGTATTCTGACATATGATAATGTCACTAACAACATTGTCAACATTTTTTAACATATTGAGACTCAGTCTCCCATTTGTACTTTTGCTATCAGTGGATGTACCAATTCCCTCTGCTAGAGTTGAGTGGGCCAGATTAAAGTTGGATGAATCCTACAACAGTTTACCTTCATCTTAAGGATTTATATCCTACTTTCCATAAACTCTGAGATTTTTTTAAAGAGTGATACATGCTTTACAACATGGCTTTATCTGGTGAGCACTTATTGTTCACTTTGCCTCTATGTGGCCCTTTTTCCTTTATGTGGTTACGAACTGGTTTTGCACCTTCATTGAGAAAATTGGATAACTTTATCTGTTTGCTGTTCCCTTGGACAAGAAATTAACAATTGTGATAGTCCCTTGAAGTGTAGCAGGAGTAACAGTACAGTTGTAATAACAATTATTACAATCCCAGATATAATTCTAATTAGCTCTTGTCTGCATTCAGAAGCAAGCAAGATCAGATATATAGAGGTTTCATAGTAGTCATTGAGAATTTTGTGAACATAAAGAAGGAAGTTGTTGCAGAAACAGATTTTTAAATTAGAAGTTATTTGTACTTATACTTAAATTCTTTTAACATTAGCAAACTGGTGCTTGCAAAATCTGGTTCTCTGGGGTCATAACGACAAAGCTAATTTGAATTCTTACATCAGAGTAGACTTCAGATGCTAGTTGTTCATGATTTATTCCTGCTTTCAGTCCTTGAAAATGTATCATGCTACTTATCAGGTGTGGAGGAAAAATGGTAGTATTTCAAAAGGTTCTTAAGAAAGTATATCAATTGTGTTTGACTTAACTCTGACTTGATCTGTTATGGAGGTTTTCTAAATTGTGTGGATGCATATTTCCAATGTATGGTTTCCCAGTCTGAGTAGGTTTCCTACTTCAATGTTTTTCAGGATCATCTATTGCTGCCTGCTACCACCCATAATAAAACCAGGCGACCAAAGATGTCAATAGTACTGCCAGCAATAAACATCAGTGGTGAGTATTAAGTGTGACATATTGGAGAAAACGATGTTCCTTTGCAAAAGTCAAATTGCTTAAATTGTTTGTGAAAACAAGTGTTGCATCAGTTGTGTGATACCAATTTGGCTGATGTTCTAGAACTAAAGTACGAGGGGGTGCTAATAAGTATTGAGCCTTACCCAGAAAAAATTGAGCTAGGAAGCTATAAATTGCAGGGTGTATTGGCCAATTTGTCTATATATATTTAACGGTGTAAAAATCAACTACCTATGATTTTAACTTAACTTTCATTTTCCGGTCCAAAGTGAACATGGCAGCACCTCCAGATTAGTTCAGTGCGGAAGAGCAAAGGACCACAAGTTCCTGTTTTTCCAAGGGAAAGGTGCAAAGCAGATCCATGATGAAATGTCACAAACTATGGGTGACAGTGGCCCTTCATTTGCATCAGTTAAATGTTGGGTTGTCAACTGGCCATTTCGGTGTTGAAAGTGAGAAACCCAGTGGAAGGCCTGTTTCTGGCTCTGTGCCTGCAAATGTGAAAGCCATCCATGACATGATCATGGAGGACCACCGAATATCAGCCAAAAGTATTGCTATACAGTGGTGCCTCGCATAGCGACGTTAATCCGTGCAGCAAAAATCGCTGTTAAGCGATTTTGTCGCTATGCGATTTTAAAAAGCCCATAGAAACGCATTAAAACCTGTTTAATGCATTCCTATGGGCAAAAAAACTCACCTTAAAGCGAAGATCCTCCATATGGCGGCCATTTTCGCTGTCTCTAAAGCAGGGAATCCGCGCGAAAACACAGGGGACATCGCAATGCAATCGCTTTTGCGATCGCAAAAAGTTAATCGCTATGCGGTTTCGTCGCTAAACGGAGCACCCGTTAAGTGAGGCACCACTGTATATCTGAGAATATCAAGTGAGAGAGTTGGGTTGTCAATTTTAAAACTGGCCATTTTAGTGTTGAAAGTGAGAAACCCAGTGGAAGGCCTTTTTCTGTCTCTGTGCCTGCAAATGTGAAAGCCATCCATGACATGATCATGGAGGATGGCCGAATATGAGCCAAAAGTATTGCTATATATCTGAGAATATCACATGAGAGAGTTGGTGCCATGATCCACAACAACTAGGAAAGGAGAAAGCTGGCAGCAAAGTGGATCCCCAAACTTTTGACAACCGAACAAAAGAGGAAATGTGTGGAGTCATTGGTGGCTGTTTTGGAACATTTTGGAAGAAATGAGTCAGATTTCCTGGCAAACTGGAAACTGGTGATGAGACATGGATCTACTGTTATGATCCTGAGACAAAGGAACAGTTTAAGGAATGGAGGCACAGTGGTTCCCCCAGGCCAAAGAACTTCCAAGTGCAAAGATCGGTGCAGAAGCAAATGGCAACAGGTTTTGGGGGTAAGAAGGGAGTTCTGCTGGTGGACTACCTCCAACAGGGTTCAACCGTCAATGCAAAATATTACTGTGCTTTATTGATGAAGTTGAGGCAAAACATCAAGGAAAAACGTCGAGGAAAGCTCTCTCAGGTGTCATCCTGTTGCATGTCAGCGCCTCATCACACAGTACAGGTGAAACAATGGCAAAACTGACCTCTTTAGGCTTTCAAGTGATGCTCCATCCACTCTGTTCTCCAGACCTGGCTCCTTCTGACCATTATCTGTTCCCCAAACTCAAAAAACACCTAAAGGGACAACGATTTGGGAGTGTTCTGGAGGCAACTAATGCTGCAAATGAGTGGATACACCAGCAGTTGGAAGAATTTTATTTGCAGGGACTTAAGAAGCTGCAGGACATATGTTGCAAGTGTATTGACTTCCTGGGGGAATATGTAGAATAGTGTGGCAGTTACAGCTTCCTAGCTCAACTTTTTCTGGGAAAGGCTCAATACTTATCAGCACCCCCTTGTATATACTAGTAATTTTGGTACAGCATTAATAGTTCATATTTTTAATAGGGACTGGATAATGCATTCAGCAGATTCAAAGGACAAAGCTTTTCTTTGTGCTGTTCCAAAATGCCTTTCTCCCTAACTACCAAACTTTGTCACTAGCATTCCTTTTCAGACATGGTAACATGATGGCTACCCAGTTCAAAATGGTATAGTCTAAAAAATTGTTTTTATTATTCATTTTGCTAAATTTTAAGACTGCCTTATGTATAGATAATATAGCTTTTTGAAAAAGCTCCCAAGATTTTTTTTTCTTATTTCATTTTTAAAGTATCAGGAGTTGGTTTGGTATTCACATGCCTGAAAAATGCAATTAATGCCCTTGCAGTGGGAAGGGTTTTTTATTATTATTATTTTATTTTTATTTTTTATCAGAGAGGGCTTTTCACACTGGCAGGCATGTGGTTTATCACTTGCAGACTGAACTCTGTTTCTGATAACAATATGGAAAATTTTACATTTTCTTTGGAAATGTTCCTTGGTCCCGTCCCGTCTCTCCCCCCCCCCCCCCGGGTCCCAACTTTTCCAAAGAAAGTGAACAGAGTGATACTCTTGTTCTGTGCCAGAAAGGAACGTGTAGAGAGGTGAAGGCCTGATACACATGCCAGCAGTACCTTCTTGGCTGGATCAAGAAGGCGGATGATATTAAATTCAGTTGTACTGCTGTTTAAAGCTTACAAGAATATTCAGTGGGAAACAGGATTTGTGAGAAGATAGAAGGCTGATTTACTTGTGGTGGCCTTGAGCTTCCAGCTGCTAATGTTGCTATGTGCTGCAGAAAGCTGTTTCAATTGTCAATGTTAATCCTAAAGGCCAACTGAGATGTCCTATTCTGACCCATAGTTAGGATGAGCATCAATAACCTCCAGAGGTCCATGAATTGCACACGCCCATTGCAGACATCCTGCCTCCACACCTTGCCTACCCCAGATATTTGTCTTGTAAAAAAGCCTAACTTCTATAACCTCCTGAAGATGCTGGCCACAGAGACTGGCGAAACGTTAGGAAGAACAACCTTCAGAACACGGCCAAAGAGCCCGAAAAACCCACAACATCCATTAGATCCCGGCCGTGAAAGCCTTCGCGAATATATTCTATACCCTCCATTGGCCTCGCTAGTGTAAGAGTTCTGGAGAGGCCCTACGGAGCACAAGGAGAGTTTTTCAGCTCACTCCCCAATAAATTTTTAGAAATCTTTTCAGGATATAATGGTGGTTGCATTTAGGCCCCTGGGGCTGCATGTGCCCCACAAGCCATCCTTGAATTAAGTTATATAGCAGTACATGCACAAACTGACCCTCCTCCCCATGCCAGTCTGTTCTGCTACAGAACTTTTTTGTGTTCAGAAAATTGCCCAACATGAGCAAATTATAAATATTCTGAATGTTCTTGCTGTTGTCACTATGTGCCATCAAGTTGCCTCTGACTTATGACTATCCTATGAATGATTGATCTCCAGAATGTCCTATCCTTAACAGCCCTGCTCAGCTCTTGCAAACTCAAACCTGAGGTTTTGTTTAGGGAGTCAATCTGTCTGGTATCTGATCTTCCTCTTTTCCTGCTGCCTTCAACTTTTCCTAGCATTATTGCCTTTTCCAGAAAATCTTGCCTTCTCATACTTCCAGAGATAGTTCAGGCTTGATTTGATCTAAGACCCACTTGTTCATCTTTCTGGCAGTTCAGGGAATCTAAAGTGCTCTCCTCTAACACTATATTTCAAATGGATCAGTTTTTTTCTTGGTAATCCAAGTTTCGGACCTGTACATAGTTATTGGGAATAGAAGAATGTGGATGGTCTTGGTCTCCAGTGACACATCCTTACATTTGATTATCTTTTCTTCCTTTTTGCTGTCTTAAGTCTCAGTTGTCTCCCAATTTTTTGGCTGCACACTCCATTTGAAATGATAATTGAACTAAGATATAGAAAATCTTTAACAATTTCAATTTCTTCATTGTTAATGTTAAAGTTACATAGTTCTTCTGTAATCATGTCTATTCTTGAAAGCACACCAAACAGTCCATAGTTCTTAAGCAGAGCTGTGCAAATGCTCAAGGTTATCTATTAAAAATAAACCTGTATTACAAGAACTGGACAACTCTTTTTCTTTATAGTTTATGATAATAAAATATAGAACAAGGTGCAGGTTTACAGTAGTATTTATTAGATTTATGATGTACGGAAAGTCAGTTCCTATTACAAAATATTTCTGGGCAGGAATCAGTGAAGAGATTACAAAGCATCCAGGTAATTCAGGGATGTTCCTTAGAAATATTATATTGGAGAAATATTAATTCTGTGAACAACTTTATATTAAAAACTGAATCAAGCTGTAATCCTTTTTTGGCATTAATCTAGAAGTCAGTTGTATTTATCTTAGTAGAATTGACTTCTGAGTAGACATTTATAAGATTGCACTGTCACTACGCATTGGCATGAAGTGCAATTTTCAAATTGTTATCTGTTTCTTAAACCAAGAAAGATCAATATCAAATAGTTGTAGTTTTTTCCATTGAATTAATCTAAAACATTGACCTTCATCAGATAGTTGAGGATGCTGTACTGTGGGAATGAATAAAGAGAGGACTGTAGGTAAACTTCATGGACATGCTGGAAAACATACAAACACACCGATCTGCTGGAAAAAAATTACCCCCAAAAGCCAGTCATGTCCTTTAGAGCTAGTTGTACATCTTTTGCTTTGTTTTGGTGAGGAGGCTTGTTAGAGGCTCATGGGCCTTTTTCAGAACTAAAAATAATGAATGAGCAGTTCTCTGTAACTAGTTAATGCTTAGCTCCCCATACTGCTACTGTGCAAATGTATGGAAGAAGTGGAAACCACCCATATCCATTGCGGCATTCAATGGATGACTGACAGCTTGACATCAATCTCACGGAAACTTCCGGAACAGATTATAAAGTGGGCACTATGCAAGCACTTAGAAAACCATGCAATAATAACTAGAAGCCAACATAGATTTGTCAAGAACAAATCCTGTCAGACTAATCTGATCTCCTTTTTTTGATCAGGGGATCTCCCTGATAGATGGAGGGAAT